TCTTCTTCTTATCATAGCATACCAACCAGCGAACACCCAGCCAAGTTTAGTTAGCCAGTTTGAGTATTCGTTACACTCTATAATAAACGAGCTCCGGTTTAGGTAGCTTAATTCTACTACTACTATAAAGATAATAATAAAACAACTAATTACTACTAATTTAATAAGTATTATAAGGTTAATTATTATTAGAGAACTATTTATAATTAGAGTAATATAATATAAAAATAGCGTTATTAAGATAGGAATCGTAAGTAAGAATTATAGCTATTATAAATAACCTAGGAGGAGTATTTAGTACCATAGTAGGACTAGTATAAGTATAGGGAGTAGTGTAACGAATACTCAAACTGGCTAACTAAACTTGGCTGGGTGTTCGCTGGTTGGTATGCTATGATAAGAAGAAGACTATCGGGTTGTTCACTTGGAAGTGAACTCGTTACTTGTATCAAAGATGTCAAACTTATATGATAAGATTGATAACTAAGTTGGGCACGAAGCTCCTATCTAATGGCAGACGTGCCAGTCTTATATAGAACCTTCGTTCTCTCTGCATCGCCTACATCACCTGTCGATGTAGTCGACCTCCTAATATCACGTGATAACAATACAGAGAAATCCCTGGATCGCTTAGCTACTCCAAACGATCCCTATTTGCTATAAGAAACCTGGATGTGCCTGTCGAGGGTTGCGCCTCTTATTATGACAGGTATCACGTGAACACGTGATTCGTGACACCTAAGTATTAGTAAAACTCTATAATATAACCCGCTAAGCTAATTGGTTTCTAATTCAGGTAGAGTGGAGGTATATTAGAAAGTGACAGGGGGGCAGGGGGCGCCAGACCCTTTACTTAGGCTAAGTAAACAGGGCCTAATTAGTATTCACTCCTCTCAAATAATGCTCTCTGATTAGTCAGAATGGTAACCTCTGGAATTCTATTTTCCATGGAATTCCAGAGCCTTTTCGATGGAATATTCCATTCCATTTTGAAGGTGCTCTAGAAGGAATATACCATTCCATTCCACCTGGAATTCCATGGAATAGGTTCCATTTGCTGAGCGCTGCTTTAAGCTTATATTAACTCGATCTCCTACTAACTAGCGGAGTAGTATAGTTTTTTATACGTCTATTCTATCTCCTTATATATATAACTTATCTAGTACTTTAATAGCTTTATATTAAATATATTAAATATATAATCCGCTACCTTATCTACTATTAATTCGTTCTCTTAAGATAGGAGCTAGGTGTAACGAATACTCAAACTGGCTAACTAAACTTGGCTGGGTGTTCGCTGGTTGGTATGCTATGATAAGAAGAAGACTATCGGGTTGTTCACTTGGAAGTGAACTCGTTACTTGTATCAAAGATGTCAAACTAATATGATAAGATTGATAACTAAGTTGAGCACGAAGCTCCTATCTAATTGCAGACGTGCCAGTCTTATATAGAACCTTCGTGTTCCGCCGTCGCCTACATCGCCTGTCGATGCTGTCGACATATCGCCAGCATCGCCTGTCGATACTGGCGATGCAAATGGTCACGTGATTACAATGTAATGAAATCCCTGGATCGCTTAGCTAGTCTAAGCATCCCTATTTGCTATAAGAGATATGATAGTGCTCGACCTGTCAGGACGCCGCCTGGTCTTCACTTGTCACATGCTTACGTGATTCGTGACACTAGGATACTTATATATATTATACTTTTATTCTAAGTAAGATAATAACCTAGTTTAGCTTTAACTTAAGGATATAGAGTAAGAGCCGTCTCTTCTTCTATCTTAGCTTTAATATTACAAATGGATATATTACTATATTTAAAGTAGAAGGCGATATTACTATAATCAAGCTTCTTAGAATAGGGGCGATATTAATAAATAGCGGATTTTATTATAGATCGTCGAATAGCTTTAATTTAAGGGGCTATAATTACTTTAAACTTTAAGTAATATAAATAGAATAACTTATATATATATTTTAGTAGTAGTTTAAGAATTAACGATTTTACAAGATTTCGCGCTAGCGTTCTTTTTTAGTAGTTAGGCTACTAAAAAAGTACGGATTACAGAAAATCCCGGAAAATTAAGCTTAATTCGCAACTGACTGTAAATAAAAATAGATTCCTTAAGTCATCCCAACTCACTCATATACCTAGGTATTCAATCTCTTTATTTATCCAAGCCTTTCAATAAATATCCATTCCAACTCGAGTATATCCAGAATACTCGTACCGTAGTACAATATATCGAACTCAGAAGAATCCTCGGCTAGACTAATACATGCCAAAACAGCCTACCAGGCCACTTAGCTTACAAAATACCTTTCTACGCATAGAGTACGGCACGGTATAACCTAGACTAAAGTAGATGCTCTTACTAGCTAGAAATTCTTCTTCTTATCATTATACGTAGGAGATTACGATAAGCGAGGGAGTCGTAGATTTGTAGTCTTGTAGAAAGCTATTCTAAGTGGCCTGGCCTAGTAAGGAGTTTGTAATTGGTACTCGACTCGCGGAGTGGTGGGTAGCGAGTATCCTTCTTAAGTTCGATTTATTAGGGTTGTGATGGCCTCTTGTACGGTAGTTATATTGAGATCCATTCGTATTGAGTTATTGCAAGAGGATAAGAGGTAACTTACGATATACTTTGATACTCTGATTAACCAAACGAGACCAAATTCCCATCTATTAAAAAGAACAATTACGAACAATTCACACAAACAAAGAAGGAAAAAAGCGAAAAAGAATACACGACCAAAACCAGACGATCACCAAATAATAACCCTACTATATACACCCAAAAGATTATCCAGACATTCCCATTCCCCATATCCATATCTCATAAAATCATCAAACCCCAACCCACCCATCCCAATTAAACCCTCACAAACTCATCCAACCTCAAAACCTCCGCCGCCTCATTAATAGCCCTAACAACCTTCTGCACCTCCACCCTGGCCTGTTCCCGATCCCCCCTCTTAAGCGCCTCATACGGCCCCGGCAACGTGGTAGCCGAGTACCCATTATCCGCGGCAGGAACATACGCCACATTCCGATAAAACTCTCGTCCAGGCAACCCCCCCTGGTTCGCAAAGGGTCTCTGGAAATCCCTTAGCTTGCCATTCGCAATATCGACATTTCTTGCATTACCCAGGAACCCGCTTCGATTGATGAAATCCATGAAGGCGCGGGCGCGTTGCGCGAAGAGAGTTTCAGCGGCTTTGAGGTCGTTGTAGCGCAGGAATTGTTGGAGGGCGCCGGCGTCGGGTTGGTTGTTGATGGAGGAGGTCAGGAGGTCGCGGTTCCAGTAGCCGACGTATTTGCGGAAGGTGTCGAGGTCGAGGGGGATGAGGGGGTCCGAGGCGAGGTGGTACATGAGGAGACTGAGGTATTGGCCGACGGAGCGGTGGGTTTGGAAGCCTGGGTCGCCGAATTTTTGCATCCAGTGGAAGGAATCGTAGTTACTGTGGTAGTGGTAGACTGGGGCGTCTTGATCGCCGCCCATTCCGAAATCGAGCTGTGTTCTTGTTAGCTTGTTCTAGGTATTAACGAGGCAGGGAAAAGCTTACAGCTCCGATTCCATATTGCGGGAAGGCGGTATAATCACTTCCACTTCCTAGTGTTCCAAACCCTTCAGTCTCGGGTTGAAATTGATACAAGGATTGCCATTTATCGTAAAGTGTCGATTCTGATCCAGCTGGGTATACAATTTTCCTCATCAGACTCTTGGCGACGGTATGTAACTCAGGCGACGCATCGGCGTATGGATCACCACCATTGACTGCAACATCAACATTGATATAACTGAACGCAGTCCCAGAAAGCCAGGGTGCGTATTCCTCAACCCACTCAGTTGACCCAACAATCCCATACTCTTCCGCATCCCACGAACAAATCACAATATTACGTCGAGGCTTCCATCCAGTTTTGAGCAACTCCCCAAAAGCCTTCGTCAACTCGGCCAAAATTGCAGTCCCAGAGTTAGGATCTCCCGCACCACCTATAATCCAAGCATCTCGGTGATTCCCCAAGATAATAGTTTCGTCGGCATGGGTTCCATTGATTATACCCATCACATTCCAAATTGGTGTGATTTTGTCCTCCATGATATTTTCCATGGAAAGAGTAGCAGCAGGATTGGGTCCCGTAGAATAAGACACGTTGAGGCCTCCTAGCCAAGTTCCTCTAGAACTACTAACATTTGCACCCGAGACTCCAAACCCGTCTAATGCAGCAAGGAGAGGAATAGCATCTCGGAAGGAGATTGGGAGAGAGGGGATCTTTGGAAGAACTGCACCTCCGTCTGTTCTCGCGACACCCGGTTTCGAGGGGTAACCTGGTGTTGTTGGGTCTTCACAATATCAGCTCTTCAATTCATTGATTCCGCAATGGGATTCATAGACTTACCACCAACAGCAAGTGTAAGATCACAAACACTACCTCTCTGGATGGAGCTAGGCTGTCTAGCCGGGCCGTCAGGATACGGAATATCCCCCTTTGCAGCTTGAGGACCATCACTTCCGGGATCCGTGAAAATCACCACTCCAACCATGCCATGAGCTTGTGCATTCTTGACTTTCACTCCTCGGAAGATGTTTCCGTATTTTGAAAGAGCGATTTTGCCTTCTAGTGGCACGCCCAAGGAAATGAGAGCTTTGAAATCATCTTCATGTCCAGCACTATTTCCATCAGCCAAGCCCCAAGAATCAAGACCCCTCAAAATGTAAAAATGAGCCATATCATAAGAAAGAAAAAGAAGACTTACCCAACATAAACATACTCCGTCTCCGCACTCCCATTCCTACTGTACCCATGAAACGCCGGAATCCCCTCCTCACTCTCCGACGTCTCATCCTCCACCAACCTATCCTCCACCATAGCAACCCGATACACACTCCCATTCCCATACTGCAACTCCAACCTCGCACTCACGGGATAATTCAAGTAAACCTCATACTCGACCAATTTACTCGGCACCCCAAAGTCACTCCATCTCTCCGCCGTCCACTCCGCTTGCGATTTATTCTTCCCCGCGACGTGGTCGCCGTGCGTATAATATGAAGACCAGGTCTCGATATCGACCGCGTCAAAGGCATTTACGAGGAGGGTTTCCTCGTCCGAGAGAGTGGGTGGGAAGACAGCGCGGGGTTCGCGGACGGGGTCTGCGAGGAGGACGTATTGGGTGTTTACTGGGGCTGTGAGACCGAGCGCTTGGTCTGTATGTGATTCCTTCTGGCATGCTAACGTAAAAGTTGCCAGAAGCGAGGGGAGAATGAGAGACCTCATATTGACTCTCGAGGAAGTCCCGACTAAGGATGGACGGTGAGGGAGGGTAGGTAGAGGCAAGTAAATACTTGCTTGTCCCACCCAGACACGGATATAAACAGCAATCTCGAACGACCAAAGTCTGGCCTTCCCTCCTCCTTCTATATAAACCTCAACCCCCACGACAAAAGTGGGAATCCGCCATTTCTCAGCACACCACCTCTCTCACCTGCCCCCTCAAACTCCAAAGAGTGGAGAAGAAAAAGCGGGCAAGTAGATCACGAAAACCCCTGCCCTAACCCATCCCCCTCCGTTGCAATTCCTCGACGTGAGCAAAAGAGAAAGAATAAGCATGATGTGATCCCCATCCCCATCCACGTCGTCACACCATCCAATCCCCTCTCATCCTCCTACCGACATGCAAGCGGGAAAAAAGCTTCCATACCCCTGTACCTACCCTACCCTACCTTCCCAAAGGAGAAAATCCCCGACCGACATCGTGGATCCCATTGTCCAAGGAGAGCAGGTTGTTACTTATATGGTCCTGAAAAAAGCCTGATCTGGTTCGTCTCCTACTTCGTAAGATCCTGCGATCCGGGCTTTTAGTAATATGTACGAGTACCCGATACTCGTATGTAGAGTTTTGGCGCTTTAGAGGAAGTTCAAGTTAGTCGTTTAAGCTTCTTTCTAGTACCAGTATAGTTCTGGATATTAACTTCAGTCTTCTACTGACTTGCCACAGTATTGCCTCAAAATCATGAGCAACTTCCCCAAACCAATCTCTAAAAAAGAACTCACAAACCTTTACCACACCGATCCGATCCGTATCTCAATATCTCAATATCTCAAACCACAAACAACAAAAGAATTCCCTCCCCTCCTTCCCACATCCCGGTCCCGACTCGGAAATTTTCATGCATTAATTCCCATCCCCATTCTACACCAAATCCCCTCAATCCCTCTATACTATCTCCTCTACTACTACAAATCACCGTAGAGTACCAACCATTACGTACCTCCCTAAATTATAAAATACCACCCAACAACCCAACAAGCCCCATCTAGCCTCCCAATGATCCAACCCGAAGCTCTCAGCCCACACCACAAACGCCGCGAGGTCTAGGCTATAGGTAGCGAAGATTCCCCATGGCATAGAACCCGCCCTGCCTTACAGTACCCGTTGGATCCACAAAGGATACTACCTCCTTAATATACTTCGTATGTAGAGCATGTCATCGAATGTCCCGGATTCATTACCGGTACCTGAACCTGAACCTCTTACCAAGATATCCACCTCATTCATCCCCCCTCCTAATCTAATAATCCCAGACCTACCTAACCTACTTCGTACCTAACACCACATACCAATCTCCAAACCCCTACAGGCTACAGCAGGTACCCTTACAAAAGTAAAAGGAAAAGGGACGGAAAGAGAAAGGAAAAGGAACTAAAGACCCTAGGTCCCTAGCTCCTACTTTCTTTCCCTTTCCGTATTCACATTTCATCTTCACCGTCCTACTGTCCGTACTCACAGCACTACCTACTTCCATACCAACCAACGAACCAACTAACCAAAACATCCACAACAATCCACTACAGCAGATCAGTTCCCCCTTCTCTCTCTCTCCAAATCCAATCCACCTAGGTATTTACCCATGCCCATCCCCTCCTCTGCTTTCCTTCTGTTCTCTTACACCTCTACCTTTACCTCGCCTACCCCCATTTTTCATTCACCCTAGCCTCAAAAAAGAGTAAAAGAATTCAGATAATCTCATTCCAAGAGAAAGGAAATAAAAACGCCCAGGGTATCCATTGAATTAAAGGCAACAACCACGACCACAAACCACAAGCGAATAAACCATCTCAATGCTTAACCCCAAACCATCCCCAAGCCCCAAGAAGAAAGAAGCCTTCTCTACTTTTCAAAATCAAGAGGCTAGCTGGCTGCCCATTCATCAATCCCCCGCAGCCCTTGGTACCTCCTTTGAAAGGATAATGACATTATTTAACAGTCCATCCACCAATGTTGGATACATATGAGCCGCTCCATCCCTAGCTCTCATTCCCTGCTCGCGAATTGCACCGGTATTAACTTCGATTTCGAGTTCGTGTTCTTTTTCAGTTCGAGAGACGCCCTGGTGTGATTAGCATAGACTTACAGACGTGAAGGAGTAAACAACGCACATTGAGAAGAACATCATGGGTCACTTGGGTCAAGTCAATCTGATACGGTCCTTGGATATAACCCAATCGATCCTTTTGTCGATCCGATCGTCTCTCCTTTTCCCGATAACCCATGGATAGAATCTCTTCAATCTCCCCATCATATTGCCATTCAAAGTTGATACTGATTCGACAATCCAGTGGATGTTGTGGTATGTGGATATCCAAATTAGAAATACGAACTTTGATGATTTTGGCTATGACTTGATCCGTCTTTTGATCATGAGTAACTCGAACGCTCACAGATTGATTAGGTCTGATTCTTTCCCTCAGAGCAGCAGGTAATCTTTGTTGAAATTGTGGGGGTAGTTCATAAAATCTGTCCGTCTCACGTCGATGTCGATAAGTTACTGGAACTCTTGATCCTTTGGCTGTTGCTTGAACTTGAGCATTCAGAAAACCATTCAGATGTGAATGTTGAGGCTATGATAGGTTAGTACCAGTTCACAACCAGATGCTCGTTTGTTACCACTCCAGGCACCGACAAGCCTCAACAGGAAAGGGAAAAAAATACATACCAATGTCATTGAACTCTTAAAAGTAATTTGCGGATTACTTGGAATAACACACTCACTGATAACAGGTAGTGTGTATCTTTGATTAGTACCTTTATCAATCAATTGACCCAATTTTGCTTCAATCTCAATTTCGACACCTCGGCTTGACAGTTCTCCAAAGTCATCTCGTGATACAACCTCGGCATACAAATAATCGGAAACCGCCTTTGTCATACCAGATACTGGTCTTTCATTAATTATACTCGTTTCCCATGGACCTAAAATCAAGGTTGGATCGGGTTTGGAGCTAGGAAAGGCAGTTCGAGCTACAACAGGTGAAGGCTGTCGTCCACCATTCGTCTCAACCTTGACAGGCATTGGTACTTCTGCTTGCTTTCCTCCATTCAGCTTTGCCAAATTCTTATTCTTGGCCGCAACAAAAACGGCTTTATTTCGAACACTCTGAGCCCAAATCGGAGGTTCTACATATCGTATTCGTTTTTTGGGAGGTAATTTAGGTGAGTTGGATTCTGGCATTGGTACACGATGATCTCCATTGACCAGTGGTTTCGAGTCGAGTTGTGATTGTATACGTTCTTCCTTTGGTTCTCGGTCCTCCATTCTTCTCTTTGCTGGCCCGTTTGAGGGTGAAGTTTGGTGAATGGGCTGCGGTTGGGCCTGAGGTATGGGCAATGGCATTGGCTGGGGAAAAGGGATCTCGGCTTGACTTGGTGTTTGACTTGGTGTTTGACTTGGAAGGCGAGTCTTTGGACTCACACTCAAGCTCCTCTCCCTCTCGCTTTGTGACCTCCTTTGTTCGCTAATCGAAGTTCTTTGGGAATCAAATCCTCCTCCACTTGGTGTACTTGGATGGCGTGGCAGCGTGGCTGGCGCAGGTGGGGCGGGTGAGGTGTGTGGAAAGTGTGAAAATGAACCCTGGGAGTGTGTTCGTTGTTGATATGGACTTGAGGGTTGCGGAAAAATTCCAGACGACTGCCTTTGTGTCAAGGGAGGACCAAGCGGTGTGCCCGGTTGAGATTGTCGTGACTGATGTCGTTGATGTTGTGAGTTTTGAGGGTGAGAAAAAGGACCTGAACCTCCTGGACTGACTGGCGAGTATTGTGGGGGGTAGTATGGGGGTTGTTGACTGTGGGCGGAAGTCGGGGTCGGAGTGGACGCGGACACGGAAGAGTGCGATCTTTGATGCTGAAGATATGGGTGTGGTGCCCCAGGCATACCAATTGGGGGTGTTTGTGGAGCCGGAGATACTTGGCCGTGCTGCTGACCCAGTGAATTGTGTTGTTGAAGGTGCGGTGGTGGTGGATTCGACCGGGAAAAGCTCTCGCGGTGCTGAAAAGACGCTGGGTATTGGTGGTGTTGGGCTGGACTCTGGGGCGTCTGCGTGGGTGGGAAAGGATATTGGGAAGTCTTCGACGAGGGCGTCTGCTGGTATGGAGACTGCGCCGAAAAACGTGCTGGTGATCTCAAATCATTGTGGGGCGGCGCCTGGATGGGAGGTGGAGGGGGAGGTCGTCCTGAGTAATTATTGGGGTCAGAGGGAGAGGAGGTATATGGCCGGCCGGGTTGCGTGCGGTCGAGGTATTCGTGCGAGGGGTGCGCTGGATGAGGATGGGCAAAGTCTCTGAACTGCTGCGACGAGGGCTGGTTGGGAGTGACGGGCGTTGCTTGCTTGGGAATTGCACTGGCTCTCTCCCTCTCCCTCTCTCGCTGGCTCTCCCTCTCTCGCTGGCTCTCCCTCTCTCGCTGGCTCTCCCTCTCTCCCTCGCCCGCTTCGGTGTTGATGATGGATCGCAGGTCCATGTTTGCGGCCGGATTCTGGTATGGGAGCGCACAGAAAAAAACCCCTAGACAATCGCAACAGCAGCACCTCCGACCGATTTCAACGCCTGGCCCGGAGGCTACAATTGCAGCGATGTCGTCCTACAGTAATCAATCATTTGATGGGATGGCAGGTGAGGCGTGCACGGCAGACACGTCTACGGTACGGTAGGTATGGCGGTATATATTTCGCGGCGCCGGGCGCTGGGGCGGCGGGTGATGGTGTTTGCGCAACACGTTTCCAGACGCAGGACAAAGAGTCGCGAGCGAGGTTTGGGGCGCTGGCCAGGCAGATTCAGGAGTCGCGTGTGGGCGTCGCAGTGCAGTGGGGATGAGTATGGGTAGTCGGAAGTCGCAGACGATGGATGGAAGAAAGTACAGGTATCCCTCAAGAGGCCAGAGTCGCGATGGCGATGTGAGGCGATGCGATCCGCGGGCGTAATTCAATGCGGAGGTGCAGGTCGAGGTGGAGGTGGTCGGTCGTGGTCGGTCGTGGTCGTGGTAGTGGGGTGCGTTCAAGGTATTCAAGGTTGGAGATTGCGATTGCGATTGCGTGTTTTTTGGAGCAGAGTTGAGCTGCTGCCCATTTTCTCCAACCTTCCCCCTTCCACTACTTAGCAAGGTTTACTGGTATGGCTTAGGACTTTGAGCCGCCTGTTACTCCCTCTTCCACGAGACATCCTGAGACTGGATCCAGAGGGAAAGAGGCACCCGGAGCGCACGCAGTGTGGAATTGGCCTCTGATCCCACCTCGTGCAATTCGACTTGATTTGGTCAGAATTTCACAACTGCTCTCCTCTGCTGTTCATCATGGGCATAAGTTATGGTCTGTGTACGTCGATACAAACAACCCGACCTGCTATCCCTGGCAACGAGCTAGCTAGGGGAGACATTTCCGGTGGGAAGGCCTGACTGAGTATGAAGGCTGCAATACCCCGGTTGGTTCACTTCCGAGCTGCGTGGCCCGCCGATCTTACTCCGATCATTCGGTCCGTTTAAATTGTTTTAATCGGACCGTGGTAGAATGCCCAGAAGGCGCAGTGATTCTTTTGGTAGCCCTCTTGAAGTTGATACTTACTCTTCTCTCTATGGAAGTAAGTCTAAAACTCTAATTATATTAATTATAATTATAAGTTCTTGCACCCAGACACGTGCTATGTCCTAATAATTACTGATACTTATATTATTCGAGCACGAAGTAATATTAAAATATCGCTTCACAAAAGTATAAACCTTACGAGTAGTGACATCTTGCTATAGTAGGGCTAAATTAGACACTACTGTAAGTTTATATAACAACTTTTCTTAGCCACACGCTATAATTTAAATGTTATTTAGAGTTATATTAAATATGAATGTCGTGCTTAGAGGCCATATATGGTACGGAGTATCTATAGCTTGCCTGGTAAGCCGGATCACGGGTTACGAAGGGGATAGAAGAAATGGAATCGCGCTTTTTCCATTACTCGTTTTTTGTAGGCGGGACTGAGGTAGGTAGCCCTTTTCTATAGGTCTCTAGTATACGTATATAGTCAATTGTTTATTTTCTTTCAAATACCTCGCTTATCTTGCTCACATGATAGAACTCCACGACACTGGTACTCAGACAACGAACCACTGGAGGAAACCCCGTACTAAGGGTGTAGATAACGAGGTCTAGGGATGGGAGTGTTAGCTAGAGGCAAATCTATAAGAAGAATATATAGTAGGGGTATGAAATAACCCATTCCCATGAGGATTGATGTTACCGATAGAGAAAGGAATTCAGCTCTAATTACAGTATCATCAATATTACGCTCGTCTTAGCGACTCAGAGATCTTTTACTCCCGCGGTCTCCTTGGAAAGTGTAAGGGTGCGATAGCGACAAGGTCAACTGTATGCGTAAGAACTAAATTGTCTACAAAGAGTGGAAGTGATCGTAAGATCTGAGGCTATTTACAGTTCCAAGGGCACGGGCCACATCGCTTCCTCCACGTCTGTACCCTCACATAAAGCATGAATCTGGCGCGTACGGTATTAGAGCAATAAATAATACGACATCCATACTAGCGCGCAACGAGAGGAGAAGTCAGGCCTATATAGCGTAAGTCTTAATTAGTATCCAGATAGTCAAATTGGTTGGAAGTTTGAGTAACTCGCCTTGAAAAATTCCATCCGTATCCTCTTGATGTATCTTGAAAGAGGAGGTTAATAGCTTGTCGTACGAGCTTAAAGACTAGAAATGTAAGGAGGAGCTTGTTGACAACTGTATCGCGAGTGCCGAATGAACGAGAAGGAATCGCATATTCGGTAGACCTGGGCTATCCACTTCCTGTTCATTTATCGAATTGACGAGTGGTCCATCACGGGGAGTTAGCATTTAGTTAAGTGTTCCCAGATACACGGCAGAATCTGGTTCATTCATTTCCTGTGGTAATATAAGTGTTTCAGGGAGTATAAGGATTCCCATAAAGCATAGTACCTGAGAATCTACCACAATGAGAAGTGAAAGCCGTGGAGTTTTCTCCTCAGTATAGATCTAGAGGTGATTAGTAAGATAGGGCATTCGGCGATTAACTCTCTAGAATATCGATAGAGGAATACTAAAATTCTGGAATTCGAGGTTACATGGTCAGTGACGTACTTAACCTCAGCAATCGGCAAAAGGAACGAGTTCCATAGAATTCTATAGATTCTATTCTATCTAGAATCCTTTTAGAGCTTATATAAAATAGAAAGATTCCTTCTATTAGTAGGCTCTAGAATAGAATATAGAATCTATAGAATTTTAGACTAGTTAAAATACGTGATTATAGGAGCTACATAGCCCTAGAGGGAGGAAGATATAATAGTACCTAATATGTTCCTTTTGATCTAGAAGTATTTGCGATACTCGTACCCTATGGAACGTAGCCCGGAGATATTTAGGGGGATATTCATGTAATATATGTTACTATCTAACTGTTTAATGTAAATAGGGCTCTAGAGACTTCCTATTAGTCGATAGAGCGGGAGTATGTTACCCTGGGTTATATAACAAATTCTAGCTAGAATTCTAGTCAATTCTATAGAACAAGGGGGTCTAGAATAGAATAATTCTATTAGTTTATTAAAAGGAATAGAATTATTCTAGATACCCCCTCTGGAATAGAAAGGAATTCAAGATGCCGAACGCTGCTTAACCTCTCTGTTAACTAGCTATTGCTTACCTCTTGTCCGATAGTATAGTATTAGCGATAATAGTAGTTACTAGAGTAGTTTCCATAGAAGGGTCTCTAGCGAAGAGATAAACAATAAGGAAGATAGCTATATATATTAAAGAGACAATTTCATACCCCAACCTACCAAGTTCCAACAAATAATAGAAACTTTTCAGTGGGAAAGTACCTATTATCTTACAACGAACAAACTTCATACCCAAGACAACGTACACCTCATGATTCCCAACACAGTAATCCATTCCTTCCATACTTATTAGCAAGATTTCCATAAGCAACCGCGAGTTAATTCGCTGGGACATTATTAAATGTATATTATTATCCAAGTATCATTACTAGTTTATCTTGCACAGGATTTACTTTGTAGAAAATCTCTTGGATAGAGCCATGTGGATGTATGAGCGAAGGATCTCCATCTAGATACTGTAGTACTGTATGTAGATAACAGACTCGAAAAGAACAGCCTTCGGCGATAGGAAGAGATACTCCCCATGTCGGCAGTAATAGTAATAGGCACTAAATTTAACTACTAAACCACAAACCAACTATCTCTAAATAATATCTCTTTAATCTCTCTCCTTTTCTATTCCCCGTCTTTCTCTACAAAAACCCCTAATATAGCAAAGTAATACATAAGAAAGATAATAAATTATACCTAATTAAGCTACGACTTGCTTTAGATATTTCGACTCTTGCATAGTAGAAACGCTCGGTTATTATCGCTTATATCTTGAATAGGGGGTAGGGGGAGGGCAGGCTAAGTCTACACTACTTAAGTACTTAGCGAGGAGAGTAGAGCAGGTTGGTAGGTACTACTTCACTCTGTCTATTTATACGCGAACTATGTAGTAATATTACTTAGAGACGCTCTAGAAATACGAAATATCTCGGTATATACTGTATATTATAATATATTGATATGTAAGGTTCAATGAGTAAGAGTATGAAATTCAACCCCCTCCCTCCCCTACGGGGATCTACCTAATGAATTATCTGCTAGACCTTAATAGTACAAAAAGCACAAATATCAGAAAACCCTATAATGTAATTTCAAGCTTAATTCGCAACTGACTAACTATACCAATCTATCCTATTCCACCCTACCTATCCCCCTACATCCCCCTTCCCCCTTCCCCCTCCCACCACCTATCCAAACCCCATACTAAAAAAAATAAAAATAAAAATGAAAAGAAGTTAAAGAAGCTAAAGATAATAATACTAACGATAGAAGAAAAACAGAGACAACGATAACTCTGAAAAATAAAAAAAGAAGACTCCCCATCCCAAGGTAAAGATAAAAAATACTTTTCCCCAGATTTGCATCCGAAACCCCATTTTAGTATAAAAACCGAAATCCCACCAACCCCTGAACGCCAAAGAGACCGCTGCCCGAGATGAGGAAGGAAGAAGGAAAGAGAGAAGAGGGAGGAGAAAGAACGAGCGAGACCCGTGAAAAAAAGGGATAGTGGGTAAGAAGAAACCCGAGAAAACCCACGCAAAAGCATCCAACCTAACCCATCCACCAAACCAACCAAAGAAAGCAGCATAGCAAACTCCCACTCCAACCTCACACCCCCCAAACCGCCCTCCTCGCCCTCATAGCCCCCACCTTCCCCTTCCCCACCGGATTCAGCCACCCACTAACCCCCTCAAGGTCCCTCTCCCCCTCCCCTCCATCCAACCCCCGTCTCATCTGCACCGGATTATCACTCCCCTTAACCCCCGGTCCAAACTCCGGTCTTCCCCCAAGACTCCCCCAAATATCACCTACATAATTCCCGGGCTCGATACCTAGTTCAAACCTCTTCCAATCTTTTAGAATCCCCTGAACAACCGGGGAGCCCGCAAGATACAGATTGCGGAGGGAAGGCTGGAAAGCGCCTTGAGTGGAATTAAACAAGTTTTCCAGACATGAGATACCGGGGTATGGACGATCAAAGTCCGCCGCGGAGCGCATCAAAATCACGCGTCGGAAGTCAGCGAGTTTAGCAAGATGGGCGCGGAGGATGGTTTCGAGGGTGGCGTTGTCTTCTTGGGCGGTCATGGTGTAGACTGCACTTCCGTTCGTGAAGAGCTTCGTGGTATTCTCGACGCTTTCCCCTAGTAGGGTGCCGGAGAAGTAGACGTCGGAGGTCACGACATCGCCTTTGATGATGGAGGGTTTGCGGATTGCTTGTCGGTATTTGGCAGCGACCATGCTGGTCTGTGGACCGGTCTGGTAATTCGCTCGGTAGACTGCAGAGGTGGATGAATCGTTCAGGCTGACATTCTTTGCGATGCCCCATGCCCAATCCCGCAGTCCGCCTGATAACTCAAAGACTTCCGTCCCATAGCTCGCCCCAGGATATTGATCAGGATGATTACTTCCCAGAGGAACATACCCCGTACTCCAATGACCCGGCACCTCTCGCGCATCAAACTCATATTGCAAACTAACCTGCACGGCGAACTTGGCGAATGCGACGTCTGACAGCGTCCCATGGTGGGGATTCACACCCGCGATGCCGGCGATTAGGAAGTACGTCTTGCGTAAATCGAATAAAGGCGAGAAGAGGAGGGCGGTCATGGTGGAAGCGGCGTTTATCTCGCCCTCGCCAGTTGTGATGAGACATACCGAGCCATCAGCTAGACAGTGTGCGTGTGGGAAGATGGGGGAGAAACCGGGGACTGTGACGTTGAGGCCGAAAAGAGAGCCGATTCCGCCTGTTTTGTTGGTTTCGAGGAGCCAGGAGTCGGATTCCGGGGGGAACTGGAGGTAGTTAGATGGGGTTTGTGGTAAGAAGAGGGATGAGTGGGAAGAAGAACGAACCATGGTGATGATCACTACTTTGGGGGTGACTTTGGAGTTTGGATCGACTGTTCGTTGGGCATGTTGGCTCAAATGAGCACTGCTCCTCGCTATATGAGAGGCGAGAGAAGTTGAAGCGACCCAGAGGGTGCTAAGAAGGATATTTATGAGATGCATGGCTTCGTAATTGCAATGGTTAAGGATAATAGTGGTTAAAGAAAGCCTCTGTGGCTAAGAATGGTGGTTGAAGAAGTCTCTTCAGAATTTTCTCGCACGTATATCTAGACGCAAAAAAAGAGCCGATATCGTTGCAACCAGGTGAAGAAATGGTGAATGTAGACGAAATAAAAGCGGGCAGGAGTAAACAGTCACAGCTTCAATTCAGTCAGGAGGTCCACACCAGCGAGATCGGTGGTTGTTGGTGGTCCGACTGACGATAACAGAGACTGAAGTAAACCGAGAACCGAGGAACAAGGAGTGTAAGAACAAGTATCGACAATGAAGAATGATCTTCGAAATTGACGTTACAACGAGGTGACGAAGCCTTTATAACTGAGAAGTACCCTACCAGCCCAGTACTAGCTGAGTCCAAGAGCCGCAATCCATACGGTAGCAAACACAACATCCTCTCTCAACGGCGATTTGCACCCCAGACTCCAATGTCCTTCGAAGAAAACAAAAAAGAAAGAAAAACTGGACCATCCTGCACGAACAATCGAATGAATTATCATCAAAAAAGCCTCCCGAAGGTTCTTAGAAGGAAGGAGATTCTCTTCCGTCTTGGTTCCCCTGTGATCATCCGGCAGATAACCATTTGGAAACTTCCAAATTCTTCCCCGGATTGACAGGGGATTGACCTATCTGCATGCAAGAAATAGCGTGAGGTGATGCCAATCGTGAATGCTTCTTGGTTACCAGAGCGGCAACGTGCAGGCGATCCCAAGATATGGGTACAGGCCGACCAACTGCAGCTGAGGTTGTATTCAGTCAGCCTTGCTTCCTCCAGAACCTCACCTTTTTTGCATGGCAGTCATGAATATCAGATGCTGGCCATGTTAAAATATGAACAGAATGTTTGCCTGTCGAGTCTGGTTTGCTCTCTCAAATCCGACCTTGGAAGCTGAGTTGAAACTGATGTAACACGAAGCGTTAGTCGCATGTGGTCCCATCCGCAAATGAAGGCTTTCAACGGCAACGTTATTGCGTTCAACATATTTCTTGAAAGGTCTTAGGTATCGATAATCCGGGGAATAGTCCGTACAGCACGGTATTTGAACATTCCGGAGGTAACAACATACCTTCATATTGGGCCACTCAAATTTAGTGTTACCAAAAATGATGAAGAACACTTTCGTAATCGACGATCGTGATCTTGGGTTGAGACAAACTTCCCCACAAACTCGTAAATCGTTCAGTTCTCTCAGGACTTTAGAGTGCGCGGCCTCTATACCAATGAGACTCATCTAGGATCCTCAAAATTTCTCCCCTTATTCGGTACCGCGTACTCGGAAGATACGGAAAGAAGCATCATCTTGCATCGTACACCCAATAATCCAGCGTGTGGGCCCCGAACGTGCTCAGTCCAAATTTAGTACGATAGCTTGTGTAATTAGATTGATTTGGTCCAAAAAAAATGTTCAATCCCCATTATTCATACCTCATAAGCCATGTTTGAATGCCCGTTGCCGCCCCAGTTTCCCCATGCTGCATACATCATGTCCCCGACATAACACAAGGAAAGCCTCCGGTCTCTTCGTCACTGCATACCAAGCATGGCTGTAGAAAAGACGACCACAAAACGCCATGCCTCCCGAAAAACAAGTTCCTTTGCAAAATTTTCTTTCCCCGAATATAACCAAAATGAAAAAAGAAAGAAACCCCTTACATATTCCACTGCTGAAGGGGCTGAGCGCCACAAAGCCTCCTTCCCAAACTCAAGAACCATCCCATAACAACTGCATGAAACGTAGTAAGCAATCCCATACCTTGCCAGCCGATTGTGTTTCCAATCAGCAATTCCAAGGCGGCCAGAATCATTAGCGGCCAGAATATTCTTTCTCGGGGCATCAAAGGCAGGCAAGGTTTGGTAAGAGACAATACCTTTAACAAGAATACAGAAAGCCTAAGAAGCATGTACAGAGTTTGTTGGTTCAAATTGAGCCATGATTCAGCCCGATGTCGATGAAGGGAAAGCTGGTGTCTGAAATTTGCCATCCCCGTCGGCGGTGGTGGTGCCATGAGTAGTGGCCTAGTTTTGGCACTCGAAGAATGTGAAGACGTGCGTCGAATTCGATCTCGACCTGATTCGCGTATTAATCCGGTTTCTGCTTTCGATGAAATAGATTCGTGTGTTGCGGATTCCATTGATTCATCTTCAATATATGCTCCCGAAAAAGCACGCTTTGTAGGTTCTGAATCAGGTTAGCAGTGTGCATTACATTCATATGAGTGAAAATACCATGAACAGGTGTGCCAGCTGATAAAGGCGAATCAATGGACTGAATAACCCTACCTAGTCGGATGTTCGCAACTTTCTTCTTACGTGGGGGATTGTCAAGTCCCTTTTCTGTTTGAATGGCATGGAGAATATCATCTGCGCTTGGTCTTTCGTTTGGATCGAGTGCTAACAATCTTTTCAAGAAGCTGTAAAGCTGATTCGGTAATTCAGGTCGTTCTCGTCGTTCGTCTCGAAATCCGGACCATGCACTGATCTCCGCTCTCAACAGATCAATATCTTCATATTCTTCCTGAATGCTATCTGCACTTTTGTAAGGAAGTCGGCCGAAGCACATGAAATAGAGGATCATCCCCAGACTAAAGATATCAGATTTTGTTGTAAAATTCCCGTAATGTCCGGATTTGTCTTGTCTCAAGACCTCGGGAGCACAATAACTGATAGTTCCTGTCGATCCAGTAGATTTTCGCATCATATTTTCCGGCTGCACTTCTCCGAAATCACTTATGAGACATTTCATTTCGTTTCCATCTTGATGAAGGAGGCAATTACTTGGTTTGAGATCCCGATGAATATAATTGGAGGCATGTAGATGTGCCAGACCAGAGGCGATATCTTTGAAGAAGGAATAAATCTCTTCGAATGCAAGTTTTCTCTGAAGTGGCCTTTGGTCATGCATCATCGGCCGATCTCCTCCACCTCGAGACCTTCTCCTTATTTGTTCCTTCAACTGCTCCTTGGGGCTCGGAGTAGCTGCAGGCGGTCCGACGATGTAGTGCAATAGGTCTCCTGCATTACAATACTGCTGGAGAATAAATGCGCATGGAACCGATGGACTGAATCGATTGAGTTGAACATCTTCTAGCCAAACATGACGATAAGATACCAAATTCGGATGGGAAAGCCCCTGGAGCAGCTGTACCTCAACCAGAACTTCGTTTGTTAGCCATGAAACATTAATCTAGATAGAGCTCCGCACCTTTCTCCAGCCATGCATGATCATCTCCAACTGGCACTCTTTTGCAAGCGAATTGTCCTAATGGCACGGAATCCAACACATGTCGAACCAACAAAACCACACCTTTTCCACCACGACCCAGTTCCTTTTCCTCGATGAAGAATTTCTGGAAATAATTTGGACTAAAGGCGTCCTTCTTAATGCTATGGCCAACTACCGGAGCTGGAGCGCTTGCGACAAATTCAACGTCGGAGACCGATCCTTCTGCGCTGTGGCTCGTAGAGGATGATGCTGGCTCAACAAGCCTCCGGATTGGACTTGAAGGAGGCGCATGCTCGTCTGACTGAGTATGGGCATCTTGAAGCATGCGAAAGTATTCGGGACTGATAAAAGGGGTTGTTCGGTGGGAGGATCTATGAGGCGAGGTTCTGCGCTCCGGCGAGGGGGATCGGAATGGGCGATGGCATGTTGGGCAATCGGATAGAGGTGTTGCGCCTCTGAGGACGAGTTGTTGAGTCAAAGGATCGCGCACAACGATAGCATCGTTATGGCGGCTGTGGGATGTTTGGTCAGTGATATTCTCATACCGAAAATTGGGTAGCAGTCGCAGTCGCAATGCAGCGCGCAGAGGGGAGGGTTGAGATGGAGGGGGTCATCCGACTGGAATGTTGTACTCACAGAACGATTTCACGACTATCTCGTGAAGAGTAGGGAACGAGAGACATTGTATTAATGAGGCATGGTGATCCTAGAAAATCCTCAATGCTGCCAATTTATGCGACAACTCAATGTTGCTCTGACCGTGGGATTGTTGTTGTTGTTGTTGTTTGCTTTCAACGGTCGGTTGCTCCTCGGTTCCTTGATGGATGACGTTTTGGGAAGGGCCCTCACCTGCGCCGTGTTGCCGTGCCGTGCCACATTCGAGGATATTGTAGCATCTTCTGCAACTTTCGGTCACCAAGACCTTACATGACACGTCACTTCAGGCTATACAGAGTACGGAATACTGGTACTAAAAGATTGAGACACAACTTCTATGTTCAGCCTGTTATTCACATTCAGGGACATCAAGTTTCCTTTGAGGTCTAAAATATCCAGACTCGCCAGAGTCACAAGAATAGTTGGACCAAGACAGGACTCCCGGCCGGAAGTCCTATTCCAGGTGTTCTTACCATTTCAAGTCAAAAGATTATTTACCAAATACTCCTTATTCATAAAATCGTCCTTGACTTTTCCTATTCTAGCTGGCTTCTTAATCTACAGGCTCCACTTGGTCTTGTTTTCGTTTCGGTTCACTCATCAATATATGGAGACAAATGGTCTCTAACATCGCCACTTTTTCGTTGCCGTACCTATGCAACCAAAACTATTTCTTTCAATTATCTCAAATCTTTCAAGAAATAAAAAAACGAATGATATAGATGAAATCAGGAGGTACGGCATCCCGAATCTACTGCTAAACCAGATGACTTAATCGTAAATCGCAAATCGTAAATCGCAAAAGTCACATGTACTACTACCGTGCTAGAGTGCCTATACCCCCACACCCCACGTACTTAATATGAGGGCCTGATTATGTAAACTCGCCACCTACTGTCGCACCCTCACTATCGCATGCTCACTGTCGTATCCTTACTGTCGTATCCTTACTGTCGCATCCTAACTGACCGTCGTATCCATACTGTTGTATCCTTACTACCCTCGCTGTCGCCTACCCTCGCTGTCGGATAGGGTTGTGCCCTAGTATTTTATATAAGAGAGAGAGGGAGAGAGAGAGAGAGCGACAGAAGCGGGGAAATGTTTTGTGTGTCGCTTATTCCCAGCCCCGGATACTACCTTCCTAAAACGGCTAGGCTAGTACGTGTTACGCTAACAATTGTTTGCTACCTACCTTTCCTCGCTCTCTCCCTCCTACTTTCTCTTCTCTTTCTTTCCGACAACCCTTTACGACAACCCTTTGCGATAACCCTTTGCGATAACCCTTTGCGACTAATAAAGCTATAGAGATAGTAATAATAAGAAGGGATAGGGGGTATTTGTTTGCCGGGGGGTACGAGATATAGGCGGAGGGTTATAACGAAACCTACGAAAGGGCAGGGGGGGTAAGAAGGGAGGGGGGAGAGAAAAGGGGCGTTCGAGTTATATTTAAGCTTATTTACTTATATCGAGTAGTTTTACCTTTAATTTCAGCGCTAGCATAACCTAAGCTAGTTTACGATTTACGACTTGCGATTTCTTATAAAATAACCTTGAAATAGAGTATTTACGATTTACGATTTACGATTAAGTCATCTGGTTTAGTAGTAGATTCGGGATGCCGTAGGAGGAGAGCAATTCACATTCCCGTACGGATGGTACATAAACACAACCATAAGCGAGCTGTCGACTCCTACCGGTCCTTCTTACCCATTAAGCCAAGAGCGAAGGACGTGCTTAGGTTAACGAATTCGCTTACAGTGGCTGTAGACAAGAGCCATGCGCAAATATTCCAAAATTTAACGTGGACAGGGCCTTGGTTATTGAGCAGATTCCGCGCTGCAGTCTAATCTGGAAAGTCCGGACAATGCCATTGGAAACGTTGTGATGCTCCTGCATTGAGATGTTGGTCTGCAGAAGTAACGTAAGTACATCTTCCCAGTACCCACGCGACGGTAATATGTCCAGCAGTGATATACGCAGCAGGAGCCTTTTGACGTTAATGAAGTCAAAGCTGATCAAACCCCTCTTCATAATCAACGTCTCCTCCTTCACTTCGCTGAATACATCCGGATTTTGACACTCTCCTTAATTTATTAGATTCATCGAGTTATACATCTTCTGTCTCCTTTCCTGTATTCGTCAAACCTCCTAACATTGGCCAAATTTAGTTGTTTGTTTTCTGATCACCACGTCTAAAGCCTTCAACAATATCTTCTAGCAATTCTTCCATAATATTTCCCTATAAAGTGACGGATCTCAGGTACTGGTATTTCAATGCCTGGACGCCGTTGGTCTCTTCGTATGAACAACGACCAGTAAAAACCCGATAGAATCAATAAGATCTGACGATCCTCTCAAGCTCTCGAAGAAGAGGACCAACTTGGGTCACTAATTTCGTGTCTAGACACGAATAGTACCATAAAGGTATTCCACGAAAGTAAAAGCACTCTGGGAGCCCTCATGCTTAATCGGTGGTTGAGTTCAACCAAGACTCTAGATCTTAACAAAGTATTGGACTCAAGATTCCGATGGTTGTTCCTGAGGGTATACATTTACGGTATAAATCTTGTGGCACGAGCCTAATACTGGTAACTGATTGAATCATATTGTATACCTAAGGTTAAGGTAAAGCTTGTATGAAATAACTTTATGGGTATTATCGCTTGTGTATTGCTTTGGAATAGTATCTACTTCTTATTTGTCTACCTCTTTGACATTCTTGACTACTATAGCAGGAAGATATTTCTATTATTGAATTTCAGCCCTGCAAAAACCATATAAGACCTCAACTATCCGACTAGGTAGTATAAACATTTTTAGTGTGTTAATAGTAGTCAAAGTAGTGAAAGCCAACAAACTTTCAACACCAAACAAAAACCACTTACCTTGTCTGTCAGTTTCCCACTACTCAAACACCGTAACCAGCACTACTGCAAAATTTCTTTTGGCCTATAAATACCTCTTCTTACACCATGATACACTGGGAAGTCAAATTTAAAATACCGTGATCGTCAAAAGGAGGACGATCTCATACAAATGCACGCACGATTCGCTGATACTGTATGAAGAGGATCTTGCATGGCAATCATTCACCTCAGGTGATTCTCAGGGGATATTCTGACATTTTTCTTGCCCTCGAGCCTTCCAGCTACAAATCGGGGACAGGAAGGGTGTTACTGTTGAAAATTCTGCTACTGTCGAAATGGTAAAGTTCGGATCTTTCGGCTGGAATTCATCTACTTAACTCTTCAGCGTGCTTGAGCAGGCTATTTGATGCGCTATTCATTATTCTTTTAGAGCCAGAGGTTGTTGTAGGTCGGATATCTATTTTGGGGAGCTAGATTTAGATGACGTCAGAGCTAGAGCGTTAGACAGGGGTGTGTTTATGGCGTAAATTTACAATTTTTATCAGATGTAGCTTAACCCTAGATTTTAGGAGGAGATAAAGAGGCGTAATGAATAATGAATTACTGATATGAGCTTTTTTCTGTTTTTGTTTCTTCTTTTTTTGAATCGATATCTTGATCGTGATTTATACCTAAGTATTCACTTCTGAAGGTTTACTTATCTTAATATTTATACTTGCTCTCCACAAATCCTCTTCGTTCCTCCTAATAAGGCAGATAACCGCTATAGTATGATTAATTAAGCGAAGACGCGTTTCAGGCGCCACACTACACCTATTCACTCCCTCGGGCTCTCTTACTCCCTATCTACATTTCAACCTCAACCTTACCTTGCAATATCAAATCTTACCCTACGTACTAAACAACCACCTTGAAAAAAGTCTAAAAGATTGCAAAAAAACAAGCTCGGGCTCGGACCAACTCTGCTTCCCTACATCTCTCTTATTGTCTTGAGTTCAGGAAGTTGGTTTATCTCGCAATATCAGTGGCCCCTCCACTTGACCATTTCTACTGATTTGCTGGAGGGAGGCGTGTTATTTGTTGATCTAACAGTCTGGGCGGGGGAGAGTGGGGAGCAGTACCCTGGTTTTTTTGGGCCTCAGTCCTGCGAAGGACCAACAGATTCTACGTTGACTACGTAGTATTGTACTCCAAGTGCAATGTCTCGAAGACAGACACAATCTGACAGTTTTCTATAGTCTTACGATGGCCTCTTCTGTTTGTGTTTCCATTTTCGACCTCTCTTCCTGTTTCAGTATCCTTCTTAAGCGTCCAGGCAATTTCCTTGATGAAACATTTCTATCTTTGCGCTTGACGACCATATAACGTAACCAGAGTTTTACCTTCTGGATCTCCGACTTGATGCCGTTGTGTCTGCGTGCACTTATGATCATGAATAAGTGATGCGGTGATTTGAAAATGGGTATTGGTGATTGCGATTGACGTAGCTGGCTAGAGTGAAATTGTGATATTGAGGTTGACATCTAAACTTGAAGTTTAGCTTTGAAGGTTTAGGGCATGGAAGAAGATGTGAATTGCTGACTGTTAGTTTGAAGGATATCCTGTCACGTAACGTGGTCTGGCGATGGCGATTTTATAGAATCTGATTTCGATGCGAATAAAGACATAGCATGGCGTTTACTTCCAACCTACCATATGTTTTGTAAATTGCCGATAAAGTGCAAGTCTAATTTTTAATACTGAATGATCGGGGAAAGAAAGGAGAAGTGATACTTGTAGAGTGTCAAGAATAAAAGATAGGTTTGTGTTCGACAGTAATAAAGGGAGAATATGTGGTAATTTGGCTTCTAACAACAAATAAGTATCTATGTTCTATGATATAAGGTATTTTCAAGTAATCTTGCTTTTGTGGCAATGGAGTTTATTGAACAACATAATTCTAGACCTTACCATATAATTTAAGTCTACCAAGTGTTTATATATAGCACTCTGCTCTATTAACAATGTCATTCAAGCAAAAGAATCATGGTGTAGACTATCACGATCCTTGCGTGATATGGCTATATAAAGCATTGAGTGTTGTGGTTCTCTTTCAACACTATCGAGAAGATGACAATGAGGATGATAATGACTAAGTTGGACGTGGCCAGAGATTTGTCGTAAAATTATTGAGTGAAGTCTTTTTGAGAGAAAGAATACGCTGACGAACTCACTAAATGATGGCTCTACAAACGAAGCGCTGCCATACAAAGTAGTTCCAAAATAC